TCCATGTAGTACCATAAATATAGTCACTCTGAACCTCAAAACAGAAAAACACTGCCATCTACTGACAGAAAAGCTGTACTGCAGCACAGAGACAATGAATCATTGCAACGTTTCTGCAAAAGCCTTTCTGCTCAGAGAGGAAAAAGTCCTAATTATAACTGTAGCTTCTACTTCTACTTTTAAAATGTGTCTGCAGAGCGCAAGTTGTCGGTCCTTCAGGGCCTTGATAATCTGGACATCCAGGAGGATCAGAATGCTGTGTTTGTTTGTGAGATCTCTGTGGAGGACGTGCCAGGGGAATGGTACAAAAATGGTGAGCGGATACAGCCCACCAGCACAATCAAGATCCGTCAGGAAGGTAAGCTTGAATATCTATATAGTTTGTGGGATTATTAAAAGCATAAGAGACTTAAAAATGTTTTTTGTTTTTTTTATTCCAGGGACAAAGCACTTTCTCCTCATGTGTAACGTTCGAGCAGAAGACTCAGGCGAGATCAAGTTCGTCGCTAGAAATGTTGAATCAGTTGCTTGCCTGGATGTGGAAGGTATTAGCCAATGTTCAGAGATTCTACTACGTTTTAGATGCATCAGTTATTTTATTTTTGTATCTTTACCTTGGCTTTGTGCTCTTTGTTTCTGGAGTACTGCATCAATAAGTTGAAGAATAGGAGCTTAGAAGTTTTATCAACAGCCAAAGTTAATAAACGTGACTTCCGCTCCCCCAAAACACCAGAGGTGTTCAGTAATGTTCATCTGTTGGCGCTCGGAGTACATGTTGGGAATTAGTCTCAGCCTTTACACCAAATGTTAACATAATATGTGTAACACTGACTGACTGGGTTATAGACGTTATTGTTATGTAGTGGCCATCTTGAATTAGGCCGACTCCAAAATTCAATCAGTTTAGTTTCAAGGGTTACCAAGTGTTTTAATAAAATCAGTTATGTGGTTCATGTGGTAGTTTGCTAATACACGGACAGAAAAACAACAGGCACATGCTTACACAAAGACAGTCAGTTACATGATGGCTCACGTTTTAGGGCAGTGGGCGATAACTGTGTGTTTAATCATTAATTCATTCAACCTGTATTTATACAGTTTAGTCTCACTGAGCCACAAGGACTCATTTTGAAGACAGACCTGTTGTAGACAGATAAAGCACAGACAATAATTCAACAAAAAGCAATAAACATAAAATAAGTTATAAACACAGTCAAATCATGATGCCATATATATAAAAAAAAGGTAAAATACTAAAAACAAGAACATATTTGCTTTGATATTTCTATTGACATTATGGAATGTTTAAAATCCCTTAAAGGATAAAGAGACTGATAGCTTCAGTTCCTGTTGCAAGGTGTTGCAGGAACAGAGTAAGAAAAGGCCTTTGTGCCAAATTCAGTTCGCACTGAGGGAACGCTGCAGGTAATGAATCCCCGAGAGTGCACGCCGTAACTGCACTGACAACGTGACATGCGGAAGGAGACATAAGAAGGCAGCGGATCAAGGACTGATTTATAGGTGGAAATGTAGCAGTGTGAGAACCTACGTGAAGTTAACGATGACCAACTGACCAATGAGTACAGAGCGCAGTGATGTGTACAGTAGTTACAACCAGTTATGAATCTTAGTGCCGCATGGTAGACAGCATCCAACATCTGCAAGGAGCAGGCAGGGGCCTTAATGTCAACAATGTCACCATAATGCATCATGCTACTGTATTCATTCATATTCATCTGCTCACAAAGACTCATGTTCGGGCTGCTGTTGTTATGCCATATTGTTTTGCATTATTAGTGTTTAGCGTATATCTTAGATCTTTTAGCGTACTGTTTGACGTTTGTTTAGCGTATGCCTCAGTGTATATCTTAGATCCTTACATACTGTGTCTTTGCACACTATATTTTGCTATTGTTGGATGTAACTGGGACCCTGTGTAGATAATTTTGTCCCACATGTGGTGAGAACGACAACAAACCTACTTAAACTTGATAATCGATGGCTGGTAGCAGCTACAAGGCATTTTCTGGCATTCAGAGTTAAGCAAGATCCATTTCTGAAAAACAAGCCCAGTTTAAATTTCAGTTTATTTATCAAGCTTTCAGCTTGTAGCTTAAAAGAGAGATGTGCATCAATTAAAACTCCCAAGTGTTTGTAAGAATCCGCAAACTCAATGGGAACACCAAGCATGTATAATAAGAGATATAGCTTTTAAAAGTCCTCGTGCCTAAAATCCACAAACCTGTTAATACTAAAAATTCTTATAAAATGTAAGAATGTGTTGTTTCCTAATTATAAATAACATGTCCTTTCTTTCAGAGCTCCCGGTCAACATAGTAAAACCTCTGCAGGATAAGACTGTCTTGGAGAAGAGTCGTGTCATGCTGGACTGCACCGTGTCCAACCCCAGATGTAGTATCCGCTGGTACAAAGACATCAATGTTATCCTGCCCTCAGAGCGCTTTGAGATCTGCAGCGAGGGCTGCTACCGCAAGCTGATCATCCAGCAGGTGGCGCTGGAGGATGAGGGCATGTATAGTGTGCAGGTTGGAGAGTACTCCTGCTCTGCCAAACTGACAGTGGAGGGTAAGAACACTCAGGGTTCTCTTTAGTTCTGTGGTTTAAATCCTGTCATTTGGTTTTCTAATAAAAATCTGACTTAAATATTCTGTTTACCAACAGGATTGTTCAGGTCTTAAATCCATCCTCACGTCTGTCTTTTGCCTTTTTGCCCTTACCAAGCCCAGTCCGTGTTGTTGGTCCGGGAGCTCCAAGACTTGGAGGTGGCGGCACCTGACAAGGCCTGCTTTGAATGTGAAGTCTCAGACCAGATCCTCAGGTACCCTGTGTGGAGTCTGAACGGGGATCCCCTGCAGCCAGGCCCCCATGTGCGTATAGAGAAGATGGGTACGGTCCATAGGCTGACCCTCATGCAGACCAACCCAGACATGAGCGGGGTGGTAGAGTTCACATCTGGGAAAGCAAAAAGTCAAGCCCAGCTTCGAGTAGTGAGTAAGTGAAACACAAGTTTGTTTGTTTAGTAATTTATTTGTTTTTTTTATCCTTTTTTTCAGTTACCTTATATTTTACAAATGGGATATATATATATATGAAATATTCAGACCAAATTAAAGATGAAGAGTTATTATGAATTAGCATCTTACCTGTTCTAGATAACTCTCTGAAGAACCTCGATTTGAAGAGATTGTTGAATTCTGGCAGAAGTGACAAGCTAACAGCTGTCCCAAATGTACTTGAATGTTGCATCTTACGGCTCAGGTTTTCAAAATAATACAGTAGTCCCACGTTTATCGCGGGGGTTAGCACCCCACCCCCTCGCAAGAAGTGAAAATCTACTAAAATGGCAGATTTCTAAGTTGAAACAATATTTCAAGACAGGTCAGTCAACAAATAAATTTAAAATCAAACTAAACTAAAGCAAAAGTCTATTTAGCAAGAGTTCATTAAATCAAGATAAGTTGATAAGTTAAAATGTTAAGTTGAGTGAGTAGTAAAGCCTTTTTACTCACCAGCTCTGCAGAACGCAGCAGCTCTGTAAGGACCAAACTTTTTTCTGATCGGATCAAAACTTTCCCTCCATTTCAGCAGAAAGCAACTTTGCCTTCTGGGTAGTGCACTGTTGCTTTCTGGGTAATGTAGTCATTTGGCGAAACTTGCTTATTGAGAAAAAAAAACTCCAAAATGGTGGTGTTTTTTTTTTTTTGTCGTGTTCAATATTACAGTACTTTACTTTGAAAAACCATGAAAGAGCGAGTCCGCGAAAGTCGAACCGCAAAGTAGCGAGGGACTACTATCCTGATGCATGCTCAATAATCCAGGTAGAAACCAGATGATCCACTCTGAGAAGGTGCTATTTAAGAGACTGAGCTGAAAACAGCACCTCAGACTGAGGAAGTCTCTCGGATGAGAGACGAAACGTTTCTACATTTTTTGTTGTTTTGTTTTGTTTTGTTTTTTTTGAATGTCCAGAGGACCAGATTTAACTTTTTTAGAGGGACTACTATATTTGTTCATGTAAAACAGTTTTATAAACCTGTACATTACTTTCAATGTTACATTATTTTGGCAAAATTATAATGCCTGCTGGAAGTGCCCCCATAGTGTACCAGAGGAGCAACAGCTAGCTGCTTTTATTAGTGTTTGAAGAACACCATAAAATTGAATTTAAATAACTTCGGTATGAAAAACTGACAGCAGTGTAAAAATGTATTATTATTATTATTATTATGCTTTCACTATGTACATATAAGAGAAGGCATAATTATTTATTATTTGATAAATGATAATTATTCAGAAGTAGCTTTTATTTCTTAAGTATGTTTTAAATTTACATTATTTATTTCCATAAAACAATCTATATGTATACATAACACATTTTGGGTTGTGTATAAATGCTGGAAAAGCCATGTTCTCACTTCCATCTGTGGTAAAACACACTTTAACCACTAGGTGAAGACAGTGGTAAAGTCTTGAGTTTTTCCATCCATTATATTTTACCTGCTTCTTCCTTTCCGGGTCATGGGGGTCACTGGTGCCCATATCTGGTCATTGTGCAAGAGGCAGGAGACATCTGGACATGTCTCCAGTCCAGCACAGGGACATAAAGACAAACAACCATTCACTCTCTCACTCACACCTAGAGATAATTTAGAGTTACCAATCAGTCTAACATGCATGTTTTTGGTCTGTGGGAGGTACCCGGAGAAAACTCACGCATGCACTGAGAGAACATGCAAACTCCACCCAGAAAGGTCCCGGGCTGGGATTTGATCCAATGACCTTCTCGCTGAGAGGCAACAGCTCTATACTGAACCACCGTGTCACCCATCTAGAGTTTATCCTTCTCAGATTCTACAAAGTGCATAGGAGCAAACGTGTAACAGTGATTTATTTCTAAAATATGCAAACAATAAAATATACAAATAAAACAACCGTCAGGTGTGTTGTAAGTTGTGAGCCTGACTGGCGCCGCACGTGCAGCACATAGCACTAAATACATGAGATGATTAAACCAGCAGGGTGCTGCGTTCTGTAAATTATACAGAGTGTTTATGGTCCCGCTCTGTCAAAGGGAATGTAGGTCACACAACCACAGAACCCTGTGTGCAGGAGACGTCACTATATTTAGTTTTAATATGTTGGCTTTAATCTAAACAGGAGTTGAGTTCAATCATCTGACCCAGATATTGAACCTGTTGGAACGTCATTTCTTTTCAAACTTATGCGGAGCTAAAACAAAAAATCAGTTACATGGTTTTATTTTATTTTATTTATTGTGTAAATTCTTTAAAACAAGTCTGACTTTCTTCAGTCTTAATCGTTTTCTCTGAATAAGAAAATGAAATTGTACATTGTGTTTTTAAATATGATGAGGAATGCAACAATTATAAAGTTTTGTCACAGCCTTAGAAAAATCCTCTCTTTTTGTAAAAATATAAACAAAAAACAAAATCTTTATTGAAATAAAAACTAAATAAATGTAAAATATTATGTTATAATAGTGAACATAAAGAACAGCATCATCTAATATACAACTTGTACTGAACTGATCACTTAGAAAGAAAACATTAACACATTTAACACAATTAATGTCTGTAGTAAATGAGTTGTGTGTAATTTATTATGAACTACTTGTGAGTGAGTTTGTTTGGATGTGCAAAAGGACAATAGCAGCTACAGAAATATAATTTTTTGCAAAAACACAGTGTGAATGTATGCGCTAAATCACTTCACTGAGACTTACTGAAGAAGCTGAAATAAACATTAGCTAAAGGCTAAAAATGAGCAAAAGGATAGCTAAAATCTACAAATAGTAGAATTTTACACAAAACCTAAAGGAAGAACAAGTCTAGCTAAAAACTAAACTGAACTGCAACTTTCAGTAGCTAAAAGATAAACCCTTACAAAATAATTCACTTTTTAAAATCAGACTGAGCAGATTTACAAAAGAACAATGTTTTTGAACAAATTCAAAAGATAATGTGTTTCTACGGGGGAAATATTTGAAATAAAAAAGGTGAACACTTTGAAATGTAGGAGGTGGAATAAACAGGCACACATCAGTGGTTTTCAAACTGGGGTCCCTGGACCCCCAGGGGTCCGTGAGCCGGTGCTTGGGGGTCTGCCAAAAAACAAATAAAACAAACTTTTTTTTTTTTTTTTTTTACAAGCACGTAGGTGTTTAACAACCCATTAAAATACACACACAAAAAAAACTAGGATTATTATTGTTTATAAATAGATTCCAGTTCAGAAAGAGATTGGGGCAGCACGGTGGCGCAGTTGAGCTGCCGCCTCTCAGCGAGCAGGTCGCCCTGGTTCAAATCCCGGTCCAGGGGCCCTTCTGGGTGGAGTTTGCATGTTGTCTCCGTGCATGCGTGGGTTTTCTCCAGGTACTCCGGTTTCCTCCCACATGCCAAAAACATGCATAGGCTGATTGGTAACTCTACATTGTCCCTAGGTGTGAGTGAGAGAGTGAAAGGTTGTTTGTCTCTATGTGTCCCGGTGATGGACTGGAGACTTGTCCAGGGTGTCCCCCGCCTCTCACACAGTGACTGCTGGATGCACCAGTGACCCCTGCGACCCAAAATGGAAGAAGCGGGTAAAAGATAATGGATGGATGAATGGAAAGAAATTGATCACTCAGTTACATTCACTCACCTGTGAATAGTCAGCCATTCAAAAAGCATAAATTAAAATATTTCTTTGAAGAGCTTATTTGTATTTAAAAAATAAAAAAAAAGAAGCTATCTACATTTCTGTTTAATTTTCTCTGCTTTAAATTCACAGGTAATCCCTGAAGGAAGCCCCTCACCTGTTTCCTGACCGATCAGAATTATTATTCCGATTCTTCTAAGATGTAGCTCTGAGATGATTTATTTATTTCAATCATGTCTATAAAAGTGCTTTAAACACGGTTGGGACAGACTGCCACACATTGAATGCTGTGGTTTCATAATTGACCTTGTTCTTCATGTTACCGTAGCGTGTTACCATTTTCTGAAATGTTCCGTTATTATAGAAACTGCAGTTTCAGTGTAAATAATGTCTGTGATTCAGTTTTGATCTGACTATAACTATGTTAAGAAAGCTTGTGCTTAGTGTATATTTGTGTTAATAAACTGTTACAATACTGTTGGAATCGGTCAATGGTCAAGTTCACTTGGTTCATATTAGGAGTTTGACTAAAATTCACCCGTTATATTTTTAAAAATAGATTGAGAATCACAGGAAAATTACATGTTTTCTACGGGGCGGTGGTATTTGGAGTAGTAGTATAATTAGGAGTAGTGAGTATGTTACCTGCAGTAGAGTCAGTCTGGAGAATCTCAGAGAGGAGTTAAGCTAACAGCAACTCATCTAGCACAACTTAAACTCTAATGTTTAGTTCAAAACTTTCCTTGGCAATTAAGTTAATGATATCTTTAGTATTTTTTTTATATTTATATTTTTATAAATTGTACATAAAGCAGTTGTTTACATTCCAACGTTTTGCTATGCAAATTATTTGCACAGTTGCTAATTTCCAGCATTGATTTGGTCTCTCCAAGTAGCAGTTCTCTGACTGTGTAACGCAGCTTATACACATGTTCATTTATTTTCCCAGAAAAAGGCACCTGTCTTTGCTTTTACAATCATCCGATTTTACTGTTTATTAGAAGTAGACTAAAGCAGATGTATGCGTCTTTCTACAGATCTGCTGAGACTTGATTCCCGCAAGTTAAATCACAAAATAATAAAAACGGACAATAATATTGATTAATTAGAGCAGACAAAGTGTTTTTTTTTTCTGAAATCACAAACATATTTGAGTGAGTTATACAAATAATGAACTGGTGGTTAGGCCCACTTTACTCTGGATGATGTCCATGACCTACAGTATATGATCTTAGAACTTGAAAACCTTCAACGTGACAACAATCATTTGGTGAGTAGTCAGAGTGTAGCAGTATTATAAGTATTTATCTGATATTTTATGTAATTCCAAAATGTGCTTACT